ATTTTTGTTATGTTATGTAATGTTTTGTTACTTTTATAAGATAATTCTAAGATAGAAGTTGTGTAAACAGTGGAGGTGAAGGAAATAAAGTATTAGAGAAGATTGAGAAATAATTGCATTTAATACCAATTTACAAAACAAAGTGATTGTCCCACATCCTATTTGATTATGATGAAAAAAATAAAATATAAAAAAATTTATTTTATTATGATATATATTGTTATCAAACTTGTATATTTTTAAAAATATTTTATTATTTATTTATTTTAATTTATAAAAAATATTAAAATTAATAATATTGTAACAACTATTGTTATAAAACTATGATTAACTTGACGGGTTGATCTAAAACCTAAAAAAATAAAAGAATGATTGACTCAACTTGACTTGATAAAAAACATAGGTTGTGAATCCATTGACATTTTTGACAAAAATTAAAAACTTTAGTCGAGTTGACCCTTCCAACCTATGATCTGAACCTTATCTTGAATCGACTCCCAAGTTGAATTTTAAATAATAATAATTATTTTTATTCTTACGTTAACTTGGGTCAACTCATGTTTGCCCTCTTGATCTATAACTTGAACCTTACCCTTCTAAGTCGAGTTTTAAAATTACAAAAATAACATTTTTTATCCTCATATCAACACCATCTTGATCTATAACTTGAACCTTGTCCTTCTAAGTCGAGTTTTAAAACTATAAAAATAACATTTTTTATCCTCATATCAACTCAGGTTAACCTGATTTGACCCTCTAATCAATGACCGTGACCTTACCCTAGGTTAATTCTAAATTAAATTTTAAATTTATGATAATAATCATTTTAATTTTATAATGATCTGAGTCAACCTAAGTTAATTCTTCTAATATGTAACTTGACTCTTATCATGAGTTGACCATCGAGTTAAATTTTAAAACTATGATAATAATTATTTTTATCTTTATATTGACCCGGATCAATAAGTCAACCCTACATGTGACCCAACCTTAACCCAAATTGAACCCCGAATTGAGTCTTAAAACTATGATTATAATCATTTATATTCTTATGCTAATTTGGACCAACCTACCTCATGATCTAAGCCTTGACTAATAACCTGAGATTTTTCATGTATCGATTTTTGAGTTGAATTTTATAATTATGATAATAATTATTTTTATTCTCGTATATCCTAGTTTGACAATTTTAAAATTATTTTTTTATAAGAATATTTTATAAATAAAAAATAATAAATATTATTTCTAGAAAAATGTCTCATTTGAACTTTTTATCTTGAAAGTATAGAAATTAATCCTAAAATTGTCTCAAAAACATATTTATTTGTATGCTTTTATCTCTTTAAGTAAAAAAAATATTTCTGTTTATACTGTTTCGATTCTTTTTATTTACAAGCAACAGATAAACATAATAATAACCAAATGTTACCTTATAATCACGATGACAAGCAATTGATTTTATAAAGTTAATTTATAAGATAATAAATTTATTTTATTTTATTTTAAAGCAATGTTATTTTAGCTTTTTAAATAAAAATAATATTATTTTAAATTTAAAATAATAATTAAAATCATTTAAGTATAGTCTTGTTTGGTTTTGTTTAGCTGTGAGTTAATCGTCAAATTAACAGAATTTGATCATGAAAACTTTTTTAACAATTTAAAAATGAATTGTATGTAAACATGTGTTTAATATGTAGGAGTTTTTCTAGCTATGGTTTAAAAAAACTTATTTAAAAAAAGCAATAAATTGTAGATTTTTTAAACTCAAGTTCTTACCGCATTCTTTGATGAAAATAAGTGAAAAATAAGTTTAAGCAATTTAAGTCAAATAACTTTTTAAAATGATTGTGAATCTATAACTGTAGTGCCACATCAACCTTAAGTGAGTATTTATTTTGTTGTTATAATCAGTTTAAAAAATATTAAATAATTTTCTTAAATTTTTTTTAGATAGTATTAATATATTAATATTAAAAATTAAAAAATATATCATTTTAATCCATTATTAATTAAAAAACACTTTATATATTAAAATATCATACACACAGCCGCGAAACAAAATAATAATAATAATAATAAATCAATTTGATTCCATAAATGACAGGTCACTACCAGCTTTCCGTGACCAAGCAGACTAATAAACTAGAAAAGTCCGACCATCTCATCAGAACTTAAAAAGAAAGGAAGGAAAACAGGAACTCCCCCTTCTCCTCCGCGGTGGTCGGAGTGTTTAACTCTGTGAGAGTATCTACTTAGTGCTCTTACGCAGTGCACGGACAAAAAGAGAGAAGTAGCTATTTAATCTCTTTCCTTCTCTTCTAATTTTTGGAAACTTAAGCACACAGATCGATCGGTTAAAACAAAGATGCCTTCCCGTAGAAGAACTCTCTTGAAGGTTATCATCCTCGGCGACAGCGGGTCAGTCACCTCACCTGCCGCTTTCTCTCTCTATTTTTCTGTTCGATTCTGAACTCTTGGGTTTGCTTGTAAAATTAGGCGGATTTTTGCAGATCCTAGATTTCAATTTGATCAGTAAAACTTTTTATCTGGTCGGTTGAATTATATGTTATTTTAACTCTCATATATTCGCAATTTCTTATATTTTTTTTATAACCGATGTATTTTTGAATAACTTTGAATTTTTGTGGCTGTTTGAGATTATTTTCAATGAAGTAATATAGTTTGTTTGCGATCTGCAGGGTAGGAAAGACCTCATTGATGAATCAGTATCCTTCAAACCTCGCGGTTATCTCTTCAGTAATTATTTTGTAGTATTAAATAAAATCTGCATTGCAATGTTACACGTGTATACTGTTTTTTTGGGGGTTTTCCCTTTGACGTAATGATTTTAGATATGTAAATAAGAAGTTTAGCAATCAATACAAGGCGACAATTGGAGCGGATTTTTTGACCAAGGAAGTTCAGTTTGAAGATAGGCTCTTCACTTTACAGGTTGGTAGTGCTAGTTTATATTGTTGGTTTGAGTTGGATTTTGGTAATGTAGTGAAGTGTATAAACTTGAAGGAGTTATTAGGTGAGTTTTTTTTATGTGAGTACTACTAGTCTTTTGTTTGTTGATTGTAAGTCAATCTATCAACTTGGTGATTAGACTTTAAAGAAGTTGGACTGACATTGCAAAATTCTGTTTCACATCACGGTGTGCTGAATTGGAATGGTTTTGTGATTTAGTTTGGTAGTTTGTGAGTGCAAAATGAAAATGATTGGAATCGAATAGAAGTCTCCATATTATCCTTAATAGAATACATGTCGTTGGAATTTATTATAAGTTTCACATGGAATTTGGTGTTAATTGGATTTCAAATGGGGTCTAAGTTGGTCACTGCTCCTACCACTTTGCGGAGAAACTTCCCATATTGATTACTGCATGCTTTCTGTGCCCTAAAACATTAGGCTGTTATTCTGCTTGTTCCAATACTGATTCTTGTTTATTTTCTGCAAGTCCCCATGCATTATAGCAGGCACAAAAAATTATTGGGATTGCCAAGCCATTGGATTATGAGTCAATTTTCCTATGTGTCCCTAACTCCCCGACTGTTTTGCTGGATTGCTGTACCCAAACATTTAGCATGCCTCCTTTTATTTTGGCAGATTTGGGATACTGCTGGGCAGGAAAGATTCCAAAGCCTCGGTGTTGCTTTCTATCGTGGCGCTGATTGTTGCGTCCTTGTATATGATGTCAATTCGATGAAATCTTTTGACAATCTTAATAATTGGAGGGAAGAATTCCTCATTCAGGTATTACTTTTTTTATTTTCAATCTCGCAGAAAAGCATATCCAGCAAAATCCATGATTTTCTTAGTTGAAGTTGATTTGTGACAATAATTTGAGAAAATTTTTGCAGGCAAGTCCTTCAGACCCAGAGAATTTCCCATTTGTTGTTCTTGGAAACAAGGTCGATGTGGATGGTGGAAATAGCAGAGTGGTATGTGCTTTGAGCATGTCAAACAAAAGCCCCCCTGTTTCTATTATTCTCTCTGTAGTTCAAATGCTTCTTGTGATTTGCAGGTTTCAGAGAAAAAGGCACGGGCATGGTGTGCTTCGAAAGGGAATATCCCTTACTTTGAGACCTCTGCCAAGGAAGGTGTTAATGTTGAGGAAGCTTTCCAATGCATAGCAAAGAATGCCCTGAAGAGTGGAGAAGAGGAAGAAATGTAAGTTAAAAAAATAACCATGTCCATTTGCACGGCTCATCCTCTATTACACTTTTAGTGACTAATGACTAGTCTTATAAATTTCTTATATCATTAGAGTTTGATGTTAAACTGCAATGCTTCCTCATTTTGTTTCGCAATTAGCTTGTAAGAGTGCAGAATGTTTGATTCGATGACCGCATAAAAGCAATGCATCTTGACTTGATAACAGCTACAACTTCGTTTTTCTTAAACATTGAATAATCTGTCTGTTATCTTATTGAACAATGTTAATTACTACTGATGGCACTCGACTTTTGTGTTTCCTGTGGCAAAATTTGTGGCATGAAGATACTTGCCAGACACCATTGATGTTGGAAGCAGCAGTCAGCCTAGGTCAACGGGATGCGAGTGCTAAATTATAGCCTGTTTCTTCGGCAGCAATAAATGATATTTACCATTGCTACAAACAATTGGGCTGATTTTAGCCATTCTTATTGTTGTATCGAGACTGTAAATTACATGTTTGTGGGAAAAACCCGCCCCGTAGTGTTGGACATGGTGCTTTTCGTGTAAAAACTGCTATTATTTGTTCATGCTGTGATTGATTTCTTTCCGGGCACGAAGCGATCTCGTCATGTTATTATTACATTATGCTACCTTTTCAATCGAGATACTTGTTTTGAGGAACTATTAAAATTCAAGTTTTTCCTTGTGTTTAGGATTGTGGTTTTTTCAAACAATTGAATTTTTGTTTGTTTAGAATTAAATTTAAAATATTTTTTTTTAAATAAACAAATATTATTTTAATATATTTTCAAATAAAAAACACTTTTTAACTCTTAACACATTTATGATCTACTCTTAACATTTACGATCAACTGGTACACTGCACTACACTTTTAGACGGCGTTACTTGGAGGCGGGCATGCTTTTAAACCCATACTGAACAGAAACGTACATCACATGGAAGCATCTGCATCAATTTGTGAATCCCAACATCTTTTTCTTATATCGGAGGGCCTACAACAGAGAAGTCATGCTAGTTATCCATGTCTAACATTTAGAAGATACTTTATGAATTCAACCTTCAGCAAAATCTCACGGTACAAGTCATCATGCTTTTCATTCTCACATAATTCTGAGTTGAGATGAATGGGGTCCAATGCTCTTGCAAATCACCTTGAGTTACTAGCAAAGCTCCATCCCCACTTTTTTTTTATTACAGTGACAACAGTGGCTTCAAACGAGAAGATTGTAGAAGACACCAGCCCTTTTTTTCCCAGGAGACTGCAGAGCACGATTTACCATCTAATATAGGGCACAGACTTACTGCACTGTAATAACACTGCAAAAGGAGACAAACTGCGCCCTCATGACCTTCCAAAAAATTAACTGCATAACATATGGAAAAAGGTATTAGAGCTTAGTCAAGTCTCTACACTGCTAAGATACAGAAGAAACAGGAGCAGAAAAGATGTATTTTTAGGTGGCTTTTGGAGGGGACATGCAAGTAAAACGAAATTCACGTTATACAAGTATGAGATGAACCGTGACAGGATATCAAATGCAACAAAGCGAGTCAGTAAACACAGAAAAGAGCACTCACTTGATAAAACTAGTCATAGCTGACTGGGTATAAGAATCAATGCAGTTCTATTCACACGCATTCTGATGAAAGACTACTTTGTTCCAATTGAAGAAATTTTGTCCTGACTAGAAGGCCGAATTGAATTTCCTGCTGTAGTGGTTGTTGACACAAATGTTCCAGGAGGGGTATTAGCCAATGTACCCATCGGCGTTGAAATTGGTGGCCTTTGGGTAGCCATGTTCATTGGTGGCGTTGAAATTGGTGGCCTTTGGGTAGCCATGTTCATTGGTGGTCTCGGAAATGCGTTTGCAAAGTTCATTGCATTTCTGTTGGAAGGTAATGCTTGTGGCATTGCTCTAGATGAAGGTGGTAAACCAAGTCGGGCTGCAATTATCTGAGCTCGTTCTTGGTAAAGTCTCTGCCTTGACCTGTCCAGTTGCTCCCTCACCCTCATTATAACACTATCCATTTCATTAAAGAAAGCCAGCTTGGCTTCCAACTTATGTAGCTGCAACATATGGAACCATCCACAAGGTCACACTTCTATGGACAATGATAGAATACAGCATAGAAAGCCAACTGGGTTGTAGAAATACCTGCTTCTCAATCAGTGAGGCAGCAAGTTCCCGAATTTGGTCCTCTTCCTGGTTTGCAAGAAGTTTTGCCTTCACTGCTGCTGCTGAGATAGCTGAAACTGCAGCACGCTTCAGTTTATCAATGTTATTGTCATCTTTAATCACTTCACTATCAGGCTTCTCTTTCTTGCTGTCTTTTGGAACCTCATCTGCAAAGGGACAGAAAAATTAAGAACATACAATCATAATGGAAAAACTCTCCCAGCCAAAAAATCAAAATAAACATTGCACATCAGAAGCACCATGGTGTCAAAAATTCTCCCACCAAAATTTCAAATAGACCTCCTTTGATGCTCAATTCAAGTGCAGATGATGCAAAAGAATGATATACAAGTTTTAGCATGCACCCAGAATAATTTGCAAATTCCTGACCTCATCCAGTTAAAGCTTTGAGAATACATCACTGTTTCTTTTTCTCTCTCTAACCATAACCACTGACAAATTCAGGCTATCTAAGGACATTAAATGCCCACTAAACTCCATCCCAGTCATTTATTTTCAATCATACCCAAGATCCCTTTTGAACATACATATTTCCTCCCCAAATCTAACCACAAGCACGCACAGAGAGGGAGAGAGAGAGGACCTGCGGTGGCTCCAGTTTCAACCTTTGGATCCGAGGGCTCGTTCACTTCTGAAGGCTGTGAAGATAACATGTCTACATCAGCTGTTGCCTCTGTAGTTTGAGACTGCTCTCCTGTTGCATTTGACTTCACTGGTTGCTGCGACCCATTGTTGTCCGCAGGCAGAGAATCAGACACCATGTCCACATCCTTTGACACATCAACAGCTTGAGAGGGTTCATCAACTGACATTGATGTAAATGATTGAGAACGCCCATTCTTTTCTGGGGGCTTCAAATTAGACACCATATCCACATCCTTAGCCACCTCTGTAAGCTGAGAATGCTCTTCAGCTGAAGGTACTTCCAGTGGTTCCTTCCCGGAGCTTGGTGGACACCCTGACTTGGGTGGTATCTCATCTGATTTGTTTACAATACTTGGTGTGTGGTCCTGAGGTAGCTCTGAATTGCTAGATTCCTTTGATCTACCAGGTTCAACTTCCTCATGAGTAACCACTATCTCTCCTCCGTTTACAACATCTACTTTATCTGGGAATTCACCTTTTGAAGAATCCAGAGGTTTCTTCTCTTCAGGAACGGAGTCTTCAACTTTCTTGTCACTGTAATCATCTGACAAATCTTTGTTGTCTATACCTGAGGTAGGGCTATTCCCTTTCTGGCTTTTTCCCTCCTGCTTGTCCTTTAGAGCATCCTGATCAGCCATTTCAGTAGCAACACTGCAAATCTCTTACTCGCATAAGACACAGACCCAGGAATTGCAAAGAAAATTAAGTTCCGGTAAAAGTTCACATACCAATCACTGCAAGATGGTTTCTTTCTCTCATCTGGTGGATCTTCCAGGAGAAAGCAATGCCTTGATGCCAGCTGCATGCCAGGAGAATTGCTAGACAAGGATTTCAAAGCACTGCAGGCTGAAGCAGTAGCAACATCAGGTCCCACCAATCTTGCCAGAAACAAAGCCTATAGAAGAAAGGAACCCATCAGTTGAATGATATTAGCTGCATTTTTTAACATGCTAACGCATACAATGCCATGAGCCTCAAGGTTAATCCTTTTTATACTTTTATCTGCAAATAAAAACTATTTAAGTAAATGACAAAGTTTTCTGCATGCTAACATTCAACTTACCAAAGCCATGACAGGATTTCCAACTTCAGAAAATGAAAGTCGGTTTTCAGGAGTTGGGGAATAGCCAACAGCTTCAAATGCTTCTGTAAGAGCCTTGAGTGCAACATTTTCACCCATTTCCTCACCAGCTTTCACTCCACTGACATATTCAGATTTTGAAGTTTCCTGACCATTAATCACATCACCTCCCTGAGAAACTTTTACTCCAGTCGTATCTTCTGGTTTTGAACCTTCCATTGGCACAGTCAAGTGTTGATCCTCATCAGCACCTGTTTTGCTCTCACTTGTATCATGGACATCTTTAGGGGCAGATGTATCATCATTTGTTGCATCAGCATCTGCTGTTTCTTTAGAAGTACCATCCATATCAATGGCGCAGTCAAAAAAGGCATCCTCAATTGGCATTTGAACAAAGTGCAATATACACTGAGCCTTCGTTTTTGTGGCAACATGTTCTGCAATCTCATTCCAGTTTTCTTTATAGAGTTCCAATGCTTCAAGAAGAAGTAGAGTCTCTTGATCTGTCCACTTTCCACCACTTACACCAGCAGCCTCAGCAGGCTCCATGAGAATAAAATCTGATGAGGACATGTTTGAGCCAAACTTTCTATTATTAAAGCAATCGGCACATAAATCATAATCTGCCTGTCCAATAGGAATAAAATTAGAAAGAATGCAATATATAAAAGAGTAAAAAATGGGAGAAACTAAAATTTGGCAAAGCATTTGCAACCCCATTTCATGTATCATATCACTGTTGTATATTCTGTAAAAAACTAACATTTGGAATGTGCTTCTATCATCTTTGGCATGTGCTTCTATCCTCTTTTAGATCCAAGCTACTTACTAAACGAGATTTTGTACTTCACAAACAATTGAATTCGAATGGTGCAGGATTAAGGGAGTGTTTAGGACAATGGTAGAGATTCAAAGTGTTTTTCGCTTTGGAAATGCATTAAAATAATATTGTTTTCTTTTTTATAAAAAATATTTTTGACATTAGCAAATTAAAACAATTTAAAAAATGAGCACAAAAGAAATAATTTAAGCAAAAAAACGTTTTAAAAAATTTGCAAAACTGCAGTGCCAAACACCCTCTAAAACCAACAAATTCTAGGGAAGAACCAACCTTCTTCTGGCAATGATAGCGTTTGCGCGAGCAATCAGCTGAACAAGAATTGCAGTGGTACTCAACAGATGGCCCCTCAAGCTTAGCCAACTCTTCAGCAATTGCCGACTCAGGAAACAATCTAGATGGTGTAGTTGGAGCTGTGAAGTTAGGTTTAGTAACAACAGGTGGACATGTTTGAATGGCTTCAAAGCGAAACAACTTTTCAAGTGACAAATCTTTCTTTGCTGCTCCATCACCATCAGCGTTTGTAACAGAATCTAATTGTAATGGATGAAAGTTAATTAATCCCCAATAGTCCAAGAACTCTAACACCTCTTGCCTCGCTTCCGAGTCTGAAACTTCAAGTTCTGATAAATCTTTCACTTCAATAAGAGTGTTTGGATTTGCATGAAACTTCTTCATAATCCAATTACGTATATCTAAATAGGTGTCAGGTGACCGGCTTTGGGACTTTCCATTAAAGAATGAAGGCAGCAAACGCTCCTCAAGCGAGTGAATTTGTGTCCATGAAAACCAACCTGTAATCCAAAAGGGACGAAACCAAAAACTCATTTTCTGTCTCGACTAAACAATTCGCTCACTTAATTTTCACAAGAATTTTAATATTTCCACATAAACAAAACACAGAATTTCTCACATTCTCGATTCATTAACAACAGTACAAAAGGCACAAAACTTGACCTAAAAAAACCCTGAAATTAAAAAATTCTCATAACTGCAGCTAATACATACACCAAAACCTCAAAATTTTCACATTTTCTCAGAAACCAGACTCAAATTAACAAAACTTTTCGCAGAAAACACACAGGAATTTAAACTTCCACCACTTACCACAATGACTAGGCACAACATGAGCATTAGAATCACGAGATCTAATAACCTCAAACTCTGCTTCAATTTCTGCTTGCAATTCCTCCACCCTACTCCTCCTCTCCTCCTCCACCACCGCAGCGGCATCCGGCACCGCCGCAACTACCTTCTGTTCGATCTTCACGCCTGCTGAAGGCGCCGAAGAAGCCAAGATGTTAGGGATTTGTCTCGCTCTAGTCAACGGACCGTTATGGATCGAGAGATTAGAAAATCCAGCTTTCTCGCGAGTGAGCCGTTTCGATGGTAGAGGTGAAGAGAGAGAGTTTGAATGTGAATTTGCTTTCCTTTTGTGCCCTCCAGCCCGGCGCCTTGAAGTTGTCGGTTCAAATGACGCCGGCGAGTCGGCAAAGCTCCCCGCCGGTTTCTCCTCCATTCGTGACTGATTTTGAGGGTTTTTTGTTTTTTTTTTGAGCTAGTGAGTGAGGGAGATGTGCTCCATTTCTGTGGATTATTATTGGCAGAGAGGAATTTTTACTTCCAGATAGTGAAGCGTTTTTAATATTTTGAATTAAAAAACATGTTGACTACTGTAGTTTTGGTTTTTAGTCGATTCAGTCCTTTTTCTTCTTTTTTAGTTAATCTGGGACACTTTTTTCCTTTTTCCCGATTTGTGATGGATCAAGCCCCTTTATCCAGCTCCTTCCTTCACTTTTAAGCTTCCATATTTATAAATATAAGTGAATGGAAGGAATTCGTCATTATTAAGTAATTAATTTAAATGAATAGGGTTTGATTTTATAAAAAATAACTTAGGGGGGCTGATCATATGAATATCAATACTTAAAGGATCATGCAAGTATTTTTGAGATTATACTATAAAGTGTTTTTTAAAATTTTTATACTTTTGATATTAATATATTAAAATAATTAAAAAATATACAACTAACACATTACCATGCAGATTGACGTTCATATTAGCAGTGATGGGTATTATTTTCATTTTTTTTAAAGAAATACCCTCCTCTTTTCCTCTTTATCTTTTCTTTCCTTTCTTTTTCAAGAATATTAATTTATTTAAAAGTATAATGGCTTTTCAAATAATTTTTCTTGCTAAAATATATGGTTAATGATTGTTTTTATTTTTTTAAAATTATTTATATTAATATATTAAAATAATTAAAAGATATAAAAAGTTAATTTAATATTTTTTTAGTTAAAAATATCTAAAAATAGCAACTAACACATTACCATAAAATACCTTCAGATTAGCAGTGATGGATATTATTTCAAACAACTGCCGCCCTCTCTCCCTGGCCTCTCTCTCTCTC